CCCCCATGGGATTAGGTCGGGCCTGTCCCACTACAGGAGGAAGATTCAACAATAGTCAACAAATAGTCTGGGGACGATTCTTCGACTATTCTTGAGCATTTCTGTTGGCGTATGTTTTGACAATCCTTGATTTTTCGTCCAAATCCCGCCTGTAGGGGGACACGCCCGACCTAAAGCCAGGGATGGGGAGTGTCTCGAGCGGGGAGGGGGACCACACCACCAGGACGACCCCCCACACGTGGACGATTTTTCTATGGTGTTTGAACATTTGTGGGCCTTATTTTGCATTATTTTTTATTGTCCAAAATCCGCCTGTAGGGTTATGATGTTCCGACTTACGTTAGCCTTGATCACCAGAAAGAATTTCGAGCACCAGAAAATACCGAAATTCGAGCGTTTTCACGTGTCGGGCCCTGGGCGACCTTCGTCCGACACTGTTTCGACACTCCTTGGACACTCTTTCGACACTTTTCTGGGTGCTCGAGCGGGGAGTGGGACCACACCACCAGGACGACCCCCCCCCACCACAGGGACGACCTTTCGGCTGTGTTTGACCACTTTTGGGGCATTATTGACTATGTCGGATGCTTTGTTGTTCGTCCAATTGTTTGAGTTTTTTTGTGTATATATGTATGTATATATATATATATATATATATGTATTTATCTATCTATTTATTTATTTATTTATTTATTTATGTATTATTTTATTTATATATACACATATATATATATATATATATATATATATATATATATCGTCCAAAAGCCGCCTGTAGGGGGACACGCCCGACTCCCCCGATAGGCGCGCCGCCGCTTTGGCGTCGGCAGTTTTTTGTGTCGCACCTGCTGCGGGCTCGCCTGGAAATTCGGGCCCCGGGGGACCCCCGCGCAGATCGCTCGGGCGCGAGGCAAGACGCAGAAAGAGTCCCAGAGATCCAACGTGTTTAAAACAAATCAGGACGGAGGTTTTTGGCAGCTTTTGGCCTCTAGGGGCCCTCGCTGGGCCCCGGGACCATCAAAAAACGACTCAGGATGAAAAACCGGTCTTGGAGAATGGGTCGAGATTTCGGGGGACCCTGCATTGAAAACATCACGGCATCGGATCTCTGGTGTCTGGTCTTATGTCAACCAGTGGCGAAGCGTCCTGGCTCTCCTATAGGCCTACCATACAGTACTCTAAGAACATTTTGTGGCTTCCACGAAATGTTTTTAGAACATATATGTCCGGGACTGTCTTGTTTCAACACATCGGGCTCATGTTCTAAGAACAGTGTTCTTGTTCTTAGAACGTTTTTGGGTTCTAAGAACATGTCGTGGTAGGCCTATAGGAATGCCGGGACGGTCGGTCCCTGCTCAATTATGATGTTCCAACTTGCTTTAGCCTTGACCGCCAGAAAGAATTCCGAGCACCAGGACAGTACCGAAGTTGGAGGGTTTTCACGTGTCGGGCCTTGCGAGCCACTCGTCCGACATTGTTTCGACACTCCCTGGACACTCTTTCGACACTTTTCTGGGTGCTCGAAATTATGTCTGGGATTTGGTCCTTGAGTACGATAGGAGCAACATAAGTCTGGTCCAGGACTCTGGTCGTGATTTCTTGCGACGTTGCGCTCTCTCGCGACGTGGGACCTCGGGTCTTCGACGTTTCACATCGTCGTCTGGGCCATGCCCGCCCCCATCGGGGCATGGTGATTTGGCGTGCCCGGCTATTCCCCTCTAGGTGGAGGTCGGTGCCGCGGAATCCGAGGGAGACGGCAACCATGCCCACCTGGGGGGAGCAGGTCGGCCAGTGGTGCCGAGGTTTCCGCGGTGGGGGTGGGGATCGTCCTTCTGGTCCAGAAGTGCCAGCACGTCTTGCCTCTGTCATCGTGCATAGCAAGCGTGAGCGACTTCCCAAGATTACCCTTGCATCCTTCCCCTGCGGCCCAGCCTTGGCCGCGCCCCGCTCGCAGAGCGACGACGTGGCCTTCCAAGGCCCTTGCATCCTCATCGTGCGTCCTAACTTATACGGGCTGACTGTACTCATCCTCGTGCCCAGCATCGCTTTGCATCGTGTGGGGCGTTCCAGAGAGAGCGCCTCGCCAGCGGCACGCCCTCGCCCTGGGCGGAAGGCCGTTGGAGGGTGGCGGAAGCAGAGCGGCGCAGGGTTCCGGCCGACGGAAGGTCCGCGGTGGGAGAGGGACGTGCGAGGTTGCAGCCGTGCCCTGTAAGGAAGCGGGGTGCACATGGCGTGGCCAGCCTTGGCCAGTTGCCAGATGGGCAGGGCTCATTCCGACTCCTCCGATTCGACTCGATTCGAGTTCGATGGCTTCCGATTCCGATTCGGTTCGGCTTGGGACTCAGATCTGGGCTCGGATTTCTTAACGGAGGCCTACTCACCTGTCGATTTCCGCCAATCCGACTTCTCCCGGGTCGGCTGCCGATGTTTGCCGATCCGATTCATTTGGAACGCCGATCCGATTTATCGATCCGATTCTGGGCTCTCCTGGATGAGGGGTTCCAGAACAGGCCTCGCCTTCGAGGATCGAAGGACTTGCCGCCTCTTCCCCGGTGGAAGGCGGCGGAAGGTCGGAGGAAGCAAAGCGAGGCCGTCTCCGCTGGCGGAAGCTGGCGGAAGGCGGCGGAAGGCGGCGGACTCAAAAGAGGCACCCCCCAAGGGATGACAGCATCTTTGGGTTCAGATGTTCGGGAACCCGCCACATGACTCACGCCGCCAGCCATGGCCATTTGCCAGATGGCCTTCCAGCGCTCGGCTCTTTTTATATGGCCAGGTACGCAGGGCTTCGCGCGTGTATGCAGCGCGCAGTATCCAGGTGATCCCCGTGGGACCCGAGCCGCGTGACGTGCCAGCTTCCGGGCACAAGCTTCGTCAACCTGAGCCATCTTCGCAGGTTCTTGTCACAACCCGCCGCCCTCTTCCATGCCGAGAGGGTTTGTCGGGTTGCGGTCGCCCCCGAGCGCGAGCCAGAAGTCTGGTGCCAGCACTGGAGTGGCGCTGCCTTTGCAGGCGCCGACTCCAAAGGTCTCCCTTGCGCGGGCTGCGGGGGCGAAGCGCGTCATCCTCGAGCAGGCCCCGGAGCCTTGAGCGCAGGGATCTGCATCACAGCTCGCGCCACTGGGGACCGCTCCCAAGAGAAGGGCCCACACGGTCCCGCTAATGATTAAGAAACCTCCCCCCGAAAAGCTGGCCCATCGTTCCTTCACCAACTTGCCCGAAAGCCGGCTCGTGGCCTCTGGGCAAGGGGGTCTCCGCCAGGCTTAAGTCGGGCCTGTCCCTCTACAGGGGGAATGCTCAAAAATAGTCCAAACATAGTCTGGGGACTATCTTTTGCACATCGTTTGACCTTTTTGGTGCATTTTTGTCGTATGTTTGATTCTTCGTCGAAGTCCCCCTGTAGGGGGACACGCTCGACATAACGCCTGGCCCTGGGGGCCCCGAGGGCAGCGGCTCGATGGCGGGCAGATCTCCTGGAAGGGGTCAAGACGTCTGCTGGTCCCATGCCGTGAAGAGAGCACGACGCCGGGGAAGGTCCCCAGAGATCCGACGCCTGCAATTAGGTCGGGCCTGTCCCCGTACAGGGGGATGTTCGACGAGAAATAATCGGGGGCGGAAAAGAGGGGGGTGATGACTAGGGTGGGTGGATATCATGGCGTGGGCCATGATATTTCCCCAGATTTCATGGCGCCTCTTCTTATTTCATACGTCCCTGGTCCCCCCGCTGGGCCGCGCACATGCCGCCGGTCATGATTTGCACCCCCCCCTTGGACACCCCCCTCTTGGCCGCTCCCGAAATAAAACATAAAAAATAGCCAAATAATGCCCCCAAATGGTCAACAAGTATTCAACAAATAGTCTCCAGACTATTTGTTCACCATCCCCGGTAGAGGGACAGGCCCGACATTGACGCTGCAACAGCAAGAATTGGAGCGGCCTGTTTTTTGGCCGCGCGTTCGGCCTCCAGGGGCCCTCGCCAGGCCTCGGGGCCGTGAAGCAATGGTCCGGGATTCACAAGAACGGCCCTCTACAGTGAAGTGGTCCAGACCTCCGGGGCGCACGCCTCGAAGCAGTTTGAGCAGACGGATGTCAGGGTGTCTGGGGAAGGGGGGAGGCGCAGGCGGCATAGGAGCGGGGCGGCAGGCGGGCGGCAGGAGAGGCAGGCTGGTGCCGAAGGTGTCCCCGACCCGATCTGCCTTCGGAATCTCTCAAGAGCTTGGCATCGCTTGGACGTGTACATCTTTCCTTCGGCGAGGACCATCGAGGAGCATCCTTGATCATTTGGCGAGAAAGCCACGCGCGAAACCGAAAAAAACACAGGGAATGGACGTCCGAGCGATGGCCAGAGAGGCCCAGGCGGCTGCCAGGACAGCCCGTCACGAGCTGCTCCGAGGGCCGGTAGCGGCTCCGAGAGGGTGCGAGAAATTAAGGATGCCTTGAGCACTATGTTGGCGCTGACCTGGGGAGCCTATTCGTAGCTCGCCATGGCCAGAAAGGCCTCCGCGTTCCTCATAATTTGGCGCGCGCGTTCTTCTTGTCATTATTCTGAACAGTATTACTAAGCATTATTATCACTCCCCTTGTTCTTCTTCTTCTTCTTCTTCTTTCTGACTCTTTGCCTCCAGCCTCCCCCGAGCCGATTCGATTCCGTTTTCTCGACGATCCGATGCGGCCCAAAGCTCGAAAGAGGCGCCGTTGTGCACGCTGGCGCGGCCGATCCGCGTCGGTTTGGGCTCGCTTCCGGCGGTGCAACCCGATCCGACGCACGTTCCCAGACATCCGACGATATATAATATTTCAACCCATGGCCCCAGAGGCTCCAACCCCTTCCATTGGGGCAGTGCTCTTGTCCCAGATGCACTTTGGATAGCCCCAGGGCCCGAGGACGCGCCCCAGGCCCCGATTGAAAAAATCAGATCGTCGGAGAAATGGGTTCCGATCCGGTCCGACCTCCTGACTCGATCCTGATCGATCCAGCCCCCCAGGTCTGACGCGGGCCCCCGATGCGGCTGGCCCGCTCCCTGGCGTCGTGGCTGCTGGCCGCGCTCTGTCAGCGGGGCGATGCCGGCTCGGCCGAGGCCCGGCTGGTGCCACGCCCGCAGGGCGAGCCCAGGAGGCCAGGACAGTAGAAGAAGAGCACACATATTGCATGAGCATATTGTATACGTTATATATACGTATGTATGTATGTGTATATATATATGTTTATATATATGTATATATGTGTATATATTCCTCCTATATGTTTATAAGCCTGGGCGGGGGGAAAACCAATCCCCCCCCCCAAAAACCGGACTCCCGGGATCTGGGGCTTTGGGACCCTCCAGACGGGCCTCGAAGCGGCCCCCCTGGCCTCGCAGGGCGTTTTGCCAAGCCTTCCCAGCAGACCTAGGGCGATCAGGGGGGTCATCGGAGACGTCTCAGAGACCCCCATGACGCAAGAGCGCTCCAAGAGTGACCGACGTGACCTCAAGATGGCCCAAGAGGCCTCCAGGACGGCCCCAAAGAGGCCCCCAAGAGCACTCCCAAGAGGCCAAAATCATAGATTTTCTGATAGTTTTTGGTGAATTTGGGGGTTCTCCTCTTTTCGGCTTCCCGACGCTCCAAGACGGCGGTCTTCTGGGCGTCCGAAGCCACCTGGGAGGCTCCAAAATCGCCCCACAACCATCCGAAAGGGCTTCCAGGCAGTCCAAGAGAGCCCCAAAACGGCACAACACGGGTCCAAGATGGCCCTCGGAGAGCCCCATGGCGGCCCAAGATGGCCCCAAGACACCCTCCGAAGCATTCCAAATCGTGACCCGGTCGTTCAGGGAGACCGTGTTTGGAGGCAGGGTGGCCCGAGGAAGCCTCCAGAGGCCCCCAGAATACGCCCAGGAGGCCTCCAGAAGGCCTTAAGAAAGCCTGAGACCATTTTTTTTAGGCCTCCAGAGGCTCTCCCAGGAGGAGCCTCCGCAAAAAAAAGCTGAGGAGGATAGGGAGAATGCGCAGGGTATGGCGAACATGAGGAAAAAGAAGCATGGAGGAAGGATAACGAATATCATTATCATAGTGGCGATGCCGGAAAAGGCAACAAGGAGTTATCGCTAAATTGTCGGCTTGATCTTCCTGCAATTCCGCCTGCGAACCAAACTTCAAGGACCAAGGTGCATGGCGCGAAGCGCCACTGCAGTCTTGTGTGTGTATATATATATATACATACATTCCTATTCTTATATTTTCATTACCCGGGAACCCCCCCCGGACCCCCCCCCCTAAACCGGATCCTCCTCCAAGGGACGGCCAGGACGTCCTTTCGGACGGTTCGGGGGCCCCCTGGACGCCCTTGGAAAAGGTTCGCTGGCCTTTCCGGGCCTGCCAGGGCGCATTGACAGGCCTTGCGAGCAGACTCAGGGCGATTAGATGGGTCATCGGAGAGGCGCAAAATAGACCCAAGACAGCACACGGGCGCTTCAAGAGGCCCCCAAAACGCCCCAAAAGGCTGTTCAGAGAACCCAAAAGAAGCAAAAACCTTGGGAAAATAAACATTTTTTGCGTACCCGCTTTGTTGGCCTTTGCAGCATCCAATTCCGGCCCGATGGGCCACCGATATCGCCCCAAGACGGCTCAAGAGGCGCCCCACATGGCTTCACGACGGCCCACGAGGGACCCAAGACTGCCCCAAAAAAGTTCCCAAGAGAGACCCAAGAAACCCACGGGAGATCCCCAGGAAGGCCTTCAGAGGCCCCCAAGAGGCCCAAAATGGCTTCCGAAGACTTCTGGAGGGACCCAGCTACCCACAACGGCCCAAGAAGGCCCCAAGACGGCCCAGGAAGGCCCCAGGACGGCCCCCCCAAAAACCGAAACACCTAAACGCGGTTCTCCTGCGAAGTGCATCGAGCTCACCCGACGCTCTTCGTTCCACGCTTCAGGCTCGCGGTCCCCATTCCTAGATCGAGAGAGACAGGCAAGGGATACATATTCGAATTTCCACGATCCAAGATTTCCTGAATGTCAGGGAGCGACCACAAATCGATTCGTTCCGCGGCGGTGTCAGCAGGCGCCGGTCGCCCGTGCAGACCCTCAAGTCCCTATGCTACCACAAGCGATGATTGATTGTTTTGCCAGGGAAGCGTCTGGAACAAGGCGCATGGCGCGAAGCGCCAATATATATATATATATATATATATATTATATATATATATATTTATATATACATATATATATATATATATAGATGTCTATTCCTATTCTTATATTTTAATAACCTGGACCTCCCCCCCCCCCCTAAACTGGACCCCCCCAGGGACGCTCCGGACGCCATTTCGGACGTCTCGGCGGCCCCCTGGACGCCCTTGGAAAAGTTTCGGTGGCCCTTCCGGGCCTCCCAGGGCGCCTTGCTGGGCCTTACGAGCCGACTGAAGGCGATCAGAGGGGTCGTCGGAGCGGCGCAAGAGAGACCCAATACAGCACAAGAGCGCTCCAAGAGGAACCTCGATGGTCTGAACACGGCCCAAGAGGCCCCCAAGACACCCCAAGAGGCCGTTAAGAGAGCCCCGAAGAAGCCAAAATCGTCACATTCCCTCAGGAAATACATTTTTGTTTGCATATCCGTTTTTGGGGTCTTCGCAGCGTCCAAGACGGCCCAATGGGCCCCCGATCTCGCCCCAGGACGGCCCAGGAGGCCCCCCAAGAGGGTTTGAAGACGGCCCAAGAGGGCCCCAAGACTGCCCCAGAGAGCCCCGAAACTGCCCACAAGAAGCCGAAGATGCCCCCAGAAGGCTCCCAAGTGAGACCCACGAAAACCATGGGATATTTCCAAGAAGGCCCCTGGAGGCCCGCAAAAGGGCCCTAGATGGCTTCAGAAGACCTCTGGACGGCCCCAGCCCCCCAAGACGGCCCAAGAAGCCCCCAGGACGGCCCAAGAGTGCCCCAGGACGTCCCAAAAAAGCAACCAAAATGACCAGACGACGTTCTCCTACGAAATGCATCAAGCTGACCCGACGATCTTGGTTCCACGCTTGAGGCTCGAGGTTGCAGTAGGTCCCCGACCGAGAGAGACAGGCAATGGATCTAGATTCGCAATTCGACGATCGAAGATTTCCTGAGTGTCTGGAGCCCTCCAGGCATTCAGGAAACGACCAAAAATCGATGTGTTCGGAGCTACTGTGACTTCTTCGGCGTGTCATGGGAACGCCCCTTACTTCCTCGAAGGACCTTCGCGCGTGAAAAAACAGCATTATTGTCACATTCCTGCGCGCAAGTGTGCAAGCGCATCGTCCGAACGCGGTGTCAGCAGGCACCAGGGATATCGGAAAAATGGACGGGTCGCCCGTCCAGGCCTCGAGGTCCTCCCTGCTGAAGCAAGCGATGATTTATTGCTTTGCCAGGGAAGCGTCCAGAACAAGGCGCATGGCGCGAAGCGCCAATGCAGTCTTGTATACATATACATACATATACAGATATATATATATATATATATATAGAGAGAGAGAGAGAGAGAGAGAGAGAGAAACAGAAAATGAAGAGATATTCCGATTCTAATATGTCTATTACTTGGACCCCCCCTAAACGGGACCCCCCCCCAGGGACGCCCCGGACGCCCTTTCGGGCGTCTCGGCGGCCCCCTGGGCGCTTTTGGAAAAGGTCCGCTGGCCCTTCCGGGCCTCCCAGGGCGCCTTGCCGGGCCTTGCGAGCAGACTCAAGGCGATCAGAGGGGTCATCGGAGAGGCGCAAGAGAGACCAAAGACAGCACAATAACGCTCCAAGTGGAACTTCGATGGTCTGAAGACGGCCTAAGAGGCCCCCAAGACGCCCCAAGAGGTCGTTGAGAGAGCCCCGAAGAAGCAAACATCGTCCCATTCCCACCGGAAAAGTGGAACATGTATATGTTCAGCGTATCCGCTCTTTGGGTGTTCGCAGCGTCCAAGACGGCCCGATGGGCCCCCGATATCGCCCCAAGACGGCCCGAGAGGGCCCCCAGATGGGTTGACGACGGCCCAAGAGGACCCCAAGACTGCCCCAGAGAACCCCGAGACTGCCCACAAGAACCCAAGATGCCCCCAGAAGGCTCCCAAGAGGGACGCACAAAACCTCTGAGAAGGTCATTGCAGGCTCCCGAAAAGAGCTTCAGATGGCTTCAGAAGACTTCTGGAGGCCCCCAGCTCCCCAAGGCAGCACAAGAAGGCCCCAGGGCGGCCCAATAGGGCCCCAGGACGGCCCACAAGAGGCCCACAAACGCCCAGACGGCGTTCTCTTACGAAGTACATCGAGCTGACCCGACGATCGAGGTTCCACACTTGAGTCTCGAGTTGTAAGATCTTCGACCGAAAGAGACAGGCAATGGATCTAGATTCGAAGTTTACGATCGAGAATTTCCTGACTGCCTGGCGCCCTCCAGGCATTCAGGAAGCGACCACAAATCGATTTGTTCGGAGCTACTGCGACTTTTTTTCGGCGTGTCGTGGGAGCGCAACTTACTTCCTCGAAAGACCTTCGCGCGTGAAAAAACAGCATGCCTTCCCCACTCCTGCGCACAAACTTGCAAAGCGCATCGGGCGAACGAGGAGTCAGGAGGCACCATGGATACCAGAATGATGAGCCGGTCGCCTGTCCAGGCCTCGAGGTCCCCCTTGCTGAAGCAAACGATGATCTATTGCTTTGCCAGGGGGGTCCGTAACAATGTGCAAGTCGCGAAACGCCAATGCATTCTTATGTATGTGTGTATATGTGTATATATATATATATATAGATACAAGACTGCATTGGCGCTGCGCGCCATGCACCTTGGTCCTTGGGATTTCGCACGCAAGTGCGAGCGTGCGTACATGCGCACACACGTGCGTCGATGAATGCATACTACAAATGTATATATATATATATATATATATATATATATATATATATATATACGGTTGTATGGATATGTACATGTATTTGCACATGGTCAGTGTAACTATGTGTGCGCATACACATTCGTATATCAGGCGGTAGTGGCCTGACCAGTTGCTCGCATCATCGCGCCACTAAAAGGTGCGAGGGTCTCAGGCAAACGTGGTCAGACTACCATGAGACAGTGCGTCGCCGAGGTCAGTGTTGCGAG